ACAAAGTGGTTGCCGAGCAACACACAAACGTAAACAAAGCTGTGTTACTTTGTAGCGTCATTCACAGCAGCTTCGAACGCGGCTCAGCCAATCAGAATCAAGCACCAGAACTCTCCGCTTTATAATCAGAAATGTTTCTCGAGCAGCAGATCAGCATATTATACTGATTTCTGAAGATCATGTGACACTGAAGACTGGAGGAATGATGCTGAAAATACAGCTGCGCATCACAGGAATACATTACAGTTTAACAGAGATTCACATAGAAAGCAGCTGTTTTAAATTACAATGATATTTCACAATTTTACAGTATTTTTGATCAAATAAATGCAGCCTGTATGCCTAAATAATATCAAATGTTCTTTGGTTCCTCAGCTGCTTGGTGAGATGGAGAAGGACCCAAAGCTGGTTTATCACACCGGTCTGACTCCAGCCAAACTACCGGACCTGGTTGAGAACAACCCTCTGGTGGCCATCGAGATGCTCCTGAAGCTGATGTCCTCCAGCCAGATCACGGAGTATTTCTCTGTCCTGGTCAACATGGACATGTCGCTGCACTCCATGGAGGTGGTCAACAGGTACGTCTCTCTCTCTCTCTCGTCTGGTTTCTGTCAGAGCGGATGCAGCGATAAACAGGAGGCGAATCAGTGCCCCGAGCTCCGCTTCATTCCGTGTGTTTGATTGTTGGGCTGCAGGTTAACCACAGCGGTGGATCTTCCTCCTGAGTTCATCCATCTCTACATCTCCAACTGCATCTCCACCTGTGAGCAGATCAAAGACAAGTACATGCAGGTAAACACACACCGCACACGGACCATGATGCACCAGTGCTGAGGAGGAAACGTGATCCTCAGGAAACCATTATTAATTAACAGGCTTCCTGTGCGATTTCAGACATTTGTAGTTCTAGAAAACAGAGCGCGGACATATATTTGATTCCAGACTGTTGACCCTATTCTGTTTCCTAACATAATTCTAAAAATAAATGTCATGACTGGTGCATATACTGATTTGCAAAAAGGGTCTAATTTTACCTCATCTGAGTTTTTCACAAAATAAAATGATTTTTTAAATTAAACTTTAATGCACTTCATCACACAAATGCTATGAAATGCATCCTATTTAGTGAGAAAGTGACGTGAAACCGTAAAACAGACCCTAAATCAGTTGTATCAACTTGTATTGATTTGATGCAGGACCGAGTTGATGATGATTTCATCAGTGCTGCTATTATTGTGCAGATAATATTTTCTAAATGAGTGTAAGTGACCGTTCTTATATTAACTGGTCTGATTCGGTGTTCATTGATTTATGTGAGCTGCTACATCACATAGATGCAATATTACAGCAGTTGTAGCAACATGACACGGATTGTAGAACCGAGGGAAGTGTGTTATTGTGTGATGGTAAGTGATTGTCTGTTGTGTCTCCTGAAGAACCGTCTGGTGCGTCTGGTGTGCGTCTTCCTCCAGTCCCTCATCAGGAATAAGATCATTAATGTTCAGGATCTGTTCATCGAGGTGCAGGCCTTCTGCATCGAGTTCAGCCGAATCCGTGAGGCCGCCGGTCTCTTCCGCCTCCTCAAGACTCTGGATAACGGAGAGATGCCAGCCGAGGGCAAGACGGCCAAATGAGCTCAAGGACTAAAGCTGAGTCTCTCCTCTATTAAAGCACACGAGTTCAGCCTTTCAGCGCACAGACTGAACGGCGTACGAACTCCATCTGTTTTCTCTTCCTATCTTTACAACATGTGCTCCACTATCGTGACCTGTTTTGATCCCAAACACCTGTATTTTTTGTCCATTAAAGTGATGGTTGCGTACACGTTCTCAGACGACGCGCTTCAGTTTGTGTGTCTGTGAACTCCTCCGCTTTGTGACGGGTTTGAAGTGCATTTATGCGGCTCGGTTTTACGGAAGGTCATTATGTCAATGTTTGTATCGTCTCGTGTTAGTCACATTGATCAGTTTAGAGCTGGACAACAGGGTAGTTTACGTTTTAAACCAGCATAAACCATCAACCCAATGAGATTCACTAGTAACGCATTAAAACTCCATTTGTTGAACATGAACTAACAACGAAAAATACCTCTAAAGCATATTAGTTATAGGAACAGTTCAGCCAAAAATAAAACCGTGCTCAGTTTGTTTCTTCATCAGGTTTGGAGAAATGTAGCATTGTGTCAGTGTCTCACTGCAAGTGAATGGGTGCCGTCAGAATGAGAGCTGATAAAAACATCACGAGTAATCCACAGCACTCCAGTCCATCAGTTAACATCTGGAGAAGACAAAAGCTGAAACACATCCAGCATTAAGACGTTTTTAACTAAAATACATTGAGTCTATAATCAATAATAACTCTTCCTCCAGTGAGTCAGTGTTCTGGTGTGAATCAGGAGAGAAATCTGCACAGATCAAGCAGCGTTTAAACAGCTCTAAACACATATGTGGCTGCATTTTGATGCGAGAGACAACAGCAGATGCACTCTTTCACTGGAGGAAGCGTGTTACCTAATAGCATGTCCGTAGTATGAAACAAGCACAAACACTCGAGTTAAAAAATGTTTTTTATTTGCACATTGATTTCCAGTGACATTTAAACATGTACATCGGATTCAGAGACGGCACGTGTGTTTACTGTCGTTTATAGTCTGAAGTACCTGAACATTCAAAAGAGCACAACTGGCCTGACTTTATATTCCACATACGCACACAGTGCTCATAGACACAAACATACGCGACCTTTGACCTTTTTTGTACACAGGTTAAGCCTGATTATCTAGAGGTTAATGAAGACAGCAGGATAGATTGAATCGATTATTCAAGAACTGTTAGTTCATATTCCCCTGAGAAGTTTTCATGATAAACGCATGATGGTGGGAACCCAGTAACTGAGCAACAACTATAAAAGACAAAGAAATATAAAAGCAGGCGTATAATCCTGCGCTTCTAGATTCGTCTCATTCCTCGAGCCATGAGGCAGGCGAACACCGTCATCACCATCTTGGGCTTGACCTCCACCAGATCCTCCGGCAGCGCATACACTCGCGCTCCGATCTTCCTCGCCATAGAGATCGCGTACCTGAGAACACATCGGTGAGTTTGACATGCTGTTTGATTTTCAACAGTTCTGGGTTCAGTAGAAGTTCAGTTAACTTTCTCGTAATACTGAGTTTATATCTCGCAGTTCTGACTTTCTTATAATTCTGAGTTTATATCTCGCAATTCTGACTTTCTCATAATTCTGAGTTTATATCTCGCA